AGCTGAAAATAGAAATTTGTTCCTGAGAATATTGTCCCATAACACAGAACAAATCAGGAGTATTCAGATTAGCTAGTTCCATATTACAAGTATACCAGGGCATAAAAACAATTATTTGAATGGGTAGGTAATGAAATATTCAACATATCACAATGTAACACTATGTATACAGAACACATGAAAGCTCGAACCAATAAAACAATTCGACGGTGTGAAACATAAAAATAAAAAAAAAAATCAGAAAATTCATAGACTACGTGATGTCTTATATATTTTCAACTGAGCCTCGAATGAATATAAAGTAACAGAATCTTCAATGTGGCATGGTAATTGGTTGAAAAACAACGATTTCATAGATTGCTTTGTTCTTGTCCTGCAAATATGGAATTGATTGGTGGTTCTTGTGTTGTAGTCATGAATTTGACTATTGTACGTAATGAAGGAATCACAATATCTTGGTAATAAATTTCTGGTTATTTTATAAATAAGTATCATACTTGAGTAATACAGTCTATCTGCCACATACCACTTGAGGGCACTCAGCATGCATTGAATGTGAGTGTATCTATTCCATTTTGAGATGATTCTTAAACCTCGATTTTGCAGTTTCTGTAACGTCTGTATATTGTTTTTATCTGAGAGATAAAGCAGAGTGGAACAATAATCAAAATGGGGCTGTATAATGGTTCTGTATATTGTTATTTTTGAAAACATGGAAACTTCCGATGAAATCCTTGAGAAAAATAATAGATTTCGATATCTTCTTACAAATGTAGTCACAGTGTGCATTAAGTGTTAGTGATTCATTCAACACGAAGCCTAGATACTTGTATTCTGATACCCATTCAATTTTGTCTCCCTCCACTTCGAGTTGAAGCTTTTCATAGTCAAGTAATTTTAGTTTATATTTCTTACTAATTATCATTGATTTGGTTTTATTTGTATCAATTTTTAGTTTATTTTCGTTTAAATATATTTCAATATTTTTCAACAATCGATTCATGCGCTCCACTGTTTCTACAGCGTCATGTCCATAGCATGCAAGTAACGTGTCATCTGCTAATAAATTTAAAAAATCATATCGTTGTATATAATTTACATCATTCAGGTAAATTATAAACAGCAGTGGTCCCAGGACACTTCCTTGAGGTACGTCTTTATTGTTTGAAATTTCATTTGAGAAACATTTCCCCACTCTAGTTATTTGTGGCCTGCCGTTGAGATGATTTTTGAACCCATTTAAGGCTATTCCATCGATTCCATAATATCTCAGTTTACGAAGTAATATTTGCTTATGGATAGTTTCAAATGCCCCCTTAAAATCAAGGAACACTACTTCTATAAATTTATGGCTATCGATTTCATTCTTCCATTTTGAAACTGTTAATTGAAGGGCAGTTTCACACGAGTGGTGTTCTCTAAATCCTATAAACAGGTTATTTTCAGTATAGTACCTAGTAATTTGTTCATGTACAACAATTTTCAAAACTTTCTCAATAATCGGCAAAGTATTTATTGCTCTGAAGTCTGACATTTCACCTGCATTATTTATTTTTGGGATGGGAAATAACTGTACTTTTTTTCAACATATTTGGAAAGTTACCGGACGTCATTGATTTTGTTATTAAGTTTAGGAGATGAAATCCAAGTGTGAAAAATGTTGATTTTAAAAAAAATTAGCAGACATTACTTCTTCAGTATTTCCTTTATTTTTGAGAGAAAAAATAATTGATTTCAGCTTACTCATATCAATCTTCCCGAATTCAACAAATCTCGTTTCTATATTAGGTATTTAGATTTTGAGGAGACTAATTGCTTTTTTAAATTTGAAAAATATTCTCTCTGAGACTTTGTTTGATCCACAAAAATTTTGACACTATTGACTTTAATTAATTTATTGTTTCTCAACACTCTTAAGGCTTTTTCCGATGAAAGAAAACATACTGTGACAGGTCTATTTTTGTTCTGATCAAATTTGCCTAACTATATACACGGATGTCTGAGGCATCTTCCGCAAATTTTTTAAGTAAATCTTTGATGGTCTCTTTATCATCTGTTATTCTGTTTGCATGTGTTTTATGCTTAGATTCATTAATATTGAGAACTATGATGTTTGCTGCCCTTTTTTGCCTCTCACATAGTTCATTTACCATTTCTTGAGTTGAATCATAAGAATTCAGTTTTCTAACATCCTGTATATTGTGCTGTAATTGTAATTGATCGACCTCACCTTGTAGTAGTTTCTTTTGGTTTCTCAGTTGTTCAATTTCTTTCTGAAGGTCACAAATACTTTCTAGTGTTTTTCAGTTTTTGTGACATTTTTTCGGCAACTATTGAAATAAATTTGTCGTCAGTAAAAAGTACCGTTTATGGATTGTTTGATTATAGTTTTGATATCAATAATTTGTTTACGTATAAAAGACATTTCACGTTACATGGATCCTCTCACTCACACACACTTCTTTGCTTTTACTTTCTTTTCTTCTGTCAGTTTGTTCACTTTCACCGAAGTTGTCAACTTTATTTACAAGAACAAAACTTTACAAACGAAAAAATCAGAACTTAACATCCGATGGTAATTGTCTGCAGTCAAAATTCGTACTAGAAAGTAAAAAATTCACTTTATTGGAGGTTCAAATTGAGTAACATTAACTTGCATAGAATGGTATGAACACACTTCTGTTTCCTTCTTTATATTCGGAAGAATGGTCAGTGTTAGTATTCTACAGCAACTGCTAATTTATTCCCGTGAGTTATCTACACTGATGACTATTCTGCAGAACTGGTTCTTCCGATCTCTGGCTTTGATACTGAGCAATATGGGCTCTGAACCAGCTGTGGGGTTACAAAATATTTGGTATGAAACCAGATTGGAAGGTGGGTCTGTATAAAACATAGAAAGTGATGACAAAACATACCCGGAAACACACATGAGAAAACCTTCATGAAGGGATTGCCCAGAAAAATGTGACATTCCAAAAAAGCACCTAAACAAACTAGTTTGAAACTATTGTTCGAAAGGGTGATATGAAAAATATAGGAGAATAACGCAATAAGCACATGGGGCTGCAGTATTTTCCGTAGACTTAGGTGAAATTGACGAGTCAGACAGCTCCTAGATAGCAGAAAAAAGCAAATAAGATCAGCCCAAGCTTGCTAAAACTACCTCATTTTGCTATGAACGGTTTAAGTGACGAATTTGACATAACTTGATTATCCAAAAAAATTTAATATCCATCATCATTCTGATTTCCTTTTAAAAAAAAATGTTCTTTGATATAGTTATCCATAATTCCTGTACAAACACTGAGTTCTTCGAAATATTGAGTTTAAATTTGATGTGTCATATCAAGATGTGAATCACTTCAGTGACGGAAATTTCAACAATGCAATCCGAGAAAGTACCACTGAATTCAATTTTTCGGGCCCGTTCAATTCTTATATCTTCTTCATTTTATGAAAGTGGAATGTACTGTGATTTTTCATCGGGCATACCCACAGCAGCTAAGTGCCTATGTTAGCTAGGTTAGTTAGGTTAGGTCCAAAATGAGTTGGTCTATTTCTCCCTCCACAATAAGCCACAATAAGCCCTTGAGGGTTTTTCATCATTTCCCAAACAGAGGCGACACACTATCTTCCGACAGTCCGAGTCTCTGCATATGATGATTCAAATGACAGTGACCTGTAAGAAGGCCTGTTAGACATCGTAGTTCATCTCTACTGTAGTCCAACAAGTGTTCTGTATCAAGATTCGAAGGGTGAATAAACGTCTTAGAGTGAGCCAATCCTGCAAGATTCCGCCAGAAGTCCATAAACCTTCTTGCCATCCAGGTGTTCCATCTTTGTTTGGCAAAGCCTAAAGCGATGCAAATGACAGGTGGTGATCCGATGAAGCTGCTTACAGTACCCTCCTTTGCAAGGGAGTCAGCAGCCTCATTGCTTTCCAGGCGAGTATGGCCATGAATCCAGACCAGAGACAATCTGTTAAGTCTTCTTATCGAGGCAATTTGCTACCAATTTAGACGTTCGGTAGGAGCCAAGAGCTTCCAATGACGCCTGAATGTCCTAGAATATTTTTATTGACTTGTGTTTGAGGTTGGATTCTTCCGATTTCTCCACATACAATTCAATAGCTACGTGCCTTTCTCAAGTATTTTAGAATAGCTGTTTTTTCTGCTAAAATACTTGAATGAAGCGAAGACCCACTATACCAATACGAGTACCATATATTGAAATTTTAGTACCAAAAATCTGACGAAAGCGTCACTCAATAAAAAAGTTGGATTGAAAACAAAATTGTAATTCTGCATTCCTTCAACTATGTCTCTGAAGTCAGAGACGAAGTGAAAACAGCACTTTTCAAAACTATAATCGAATTTTCTGGTTTCTTCATGTTTCATTTAAAATGTATTGCTTGTATGTATGAATCATAAACTAGATCATGCTGAAATTATTCGAGTAGATCACTTTCAGATCGGTTTGGAGGTATTACCTCGTCACCGCAAGTTCTGCTGCTCATATTATTCGAGTAGATTATCTACAGACCGGTTTCGAAGTATTATCTCTCGTCAGCATGGTCTTGCTGCTGGATGAACACAAAACATCTGCAAGACTAACTTCTGTGAGTTATTCTGCATAAATATCTGTCGAATATAATTCAATATCCAGCATGATATTAGCCAGGAAAGTAGTTATTATTTAGCAGGCATTTACCAGAAATCTACTGTGTACATAGTTGGGGGAGATGAATGTCTCCAAATTTCATTTCGGATTATTTATTTTCTTGTATCATTATAATATTTGCATCGCTGATAATAATATATTCTCTTCAAATCTAGTGTTTTTTTGATAGAACATACTTACCTACTATGGAGTGTGGTTAGTATGTTAGTGGTGTGTGGTTAGTGTATACTGATTTTTCGGGAAGGCATATGATCTTAGATCACTTTTTATGGATGCTGATAACAAAACTGATTCAAGAGGGAAAAATTGCAGTGTAGTAAAGATCACGACAGTAATTTTATTTCAGTTTGAAACTATTTTCAAAACAAATAATTATTTTATTATTATCAATTGTTCATTTATTCACGTCTGGCACCTCTAAGTCTAGTTTACAAATATTCAGTTTTCAGTAGTTTTTGGACCGCTAGTAGTTGTTGCAGCATCTGTATAAACATCAACACGATATTTGAGTCCCCGTAGGAACTTAGAAGTGATTTTCAGTTCGACATACTTAGATCCCAGCCCTCCGCCAACTTGTGATACGGTCCCACTGCCTCCATCAGATGATAAATCAGTTACCTGAAAAAAGGGGTTTTCACTTTGTATTCATAACAAAAATTGAAGTGAGGGGATTCTGATATAAGTCTAAAATCACACTTAAACATCTTCATAAGCATGGTTGTAGAAGTATATTTGTAATTGATGACATTATCTACTTATGATTGATTTGAAGTTAATGAAATTTATACTGATAATCACACTGTCAGACATACTTGAACCAAGTGATTGTTACCATCAGAAGAGTTCACTTTTCAAGAAGATTAAGCACCTGATTTCATCGGTATTCCAAAAATATCCATCTTGATAGATAGATCGGTTGAAGAGGACCAGAAGAGTTGCCCGAATGGTCACTAGATTCATTAGATTTTGTGTGGTAATTATTAAACTGAAATGAATGGAATCTCTAGATAGTCGGATGGGTTGATACTTATATAAAAATATTTGTTTCGAGAGTAGTTTTCTTTCGTGAAATTCAATGTTCTAATGAAAGTAGCTGTTTCGAGATGGCTTTTTCCTTCAGTCTGAAAATTACTACTTTGCATGATCTGTACATCTTCTTATAGAATTACTGTTTTTGAAAAAAATCAGTTCCTGCTAAAAATATACCCCATTCAAACAACATTCCTTTGGCTGGGATTTAATCAAATGAGCGAATGGATGTCATTACGATGTCATCGATGACATTAGTAGATCAAACTCATTTCTTGACATGAAGTTGTAATTTAATGAATGAATTATGTGTTTTTTCTCATAATGTTATCACTCCATATTTGGTAGTGAAAAGCTGATAAAGCAAGTGTCTTACGCCGAAACATTGGATGTCTTCTAGTGAGGATGACAGTGTTCCATTAAAGTGAAATTTCACTTCTTCAATTTACTATTTTGGGTAGGAATCCTGTGAATGTATTCTGATTCGATTCCATAACGGATGTTTGAAATACAAACTGAATAGAGAAAAGTGTTTTTGTATAATTCAGTATTCATATAAAGGTATTCGTTTCGAAAGTATTTTTCTTTCTTGTAATTCAATGTTTATATGAAAGTAGCTGCTTCGAGAATGCTCTTTCCAGTTTGTGTTTGAAAGTTATTTCTTTACATGATCTACACATCTTTATGAATAGTTACTTTTTTGAAATTTATTGCTCCCTTGCTTCCTTTCATTTTTTGTATCAAGATGAAGAAGTAGGAGGCCACAGAATTCCTTTCCAAAAAAATATATTAAATTATTATTTAGTTGGGGTTTGAACTGAGAAGTATCTGCCTGTTTTCAATTATTCAGATATTTGTCGCCTTCCTGAGTCCGACGCTGCTGTTCCTCTTTGATTTGATCACTTGAGCAGATGTACAGTCAGAGTTCAGAACGACCTTTTGAAAAACATTTTTGGGGTGTTTTTCGAACTTTCCAAATACATTCAATGCGTATTCATACAAATAGAGTATGATTCTGAGTGGACGATATCATCCAACGGCGCGTAATTTTCTGTCTCCTTATATATTGGATGATAGATTAATTTGCATTCGGGGTCATAATGCTGTTGAGTCTCTTGCTACGTATTTCTTCTTCTTTATCCTTTTCATAACTTCATATCGCAAATGTTCATAGAAGGTAGGTTTTGGTGTTCTATTTCCTATATAGATCTGTTCCTTAATTCTTCATTTTCGCCGTGTCAACAGCTGAAGCATTGTGAATAATCTAACCTACTTTCATCTGTCGATAAGATCGAATTCAACTAGAATTTTCTGTGATTTATATCAACGGTTCATCATATCGAAATATGTTTCAAAATGTCCCAGATGGCTTTGGAAAAGAACTTTTCAACTATATGAAAGCAGGAGGTTAGAAAAGTCAGTAGGAGAACTTTTGAATGTAATTTATTTTTATTACAATAAATTGATGGATGTAGTCGTTACTACATGGTAGGAAATCATAATTAAGAAAATAGAATTTAAACTTTCTATGTTTTTTACCACTTTTATTTGTAACTAACGTTACTGCAGTTTCGTCCTATAAGGACATTTTCAAACTTATACATTATACATAAAAATAAATGTCCTTTTATAGAACGAAACTATAGTAAGGTTAGTTACAAAAAGTGGTGGAAAACATATAAAGTTTTAATTCTCTTTTCTTCATTATCCTTCATTATACATAAAAATGTATAAGTTTGAAAATGCCCTTATAGGAAGAAACTGCAGTAACGTTAGTTACAAATAAAAGTGGTAAAACACTTAGAAAGTTTCAATTCTCTTTTCTTCATTATTTTTATTACCATCTCCCCTCTTTTAGAAAGGCAAATCCTTGAAGCTGTGCTTTGAAAAAAATTTATTTATGTTGACTTTTCATTAACTTATAGCATCATTCACTGTAATTTTCTGCATCAAATTCAAAAAAAAGGTAGCTTCGAAAAGAGAAATCGATGTTATCCAATTAATAAGTGTGTTGTGTTCAAATCAATAGAACCTTTGAGACGTGATTCAGATTTTTCAATAAATTCTGAAGGTCTCACCTCAAGTATTTCAGTTTCATAGATTTCTGCTTTTTATTGTTAGAAGAAGTGAAAACATGGTTCAAAAATTTTCCTATCGTATTGAGGTTCCAAATTATACCTACCAAGTGAAAATATCATTCTCGAATTCATTTAAATTATACAAAAAAATTATTCTTTGAGTCCTGAAAATTCCAGAGGAAGATGTACCATTTCCAGTAAACACGTGTTGAAATAGTGAGAAAAGATTATGGGATTTTATGAGGTCCATAAAAACTATCTAGAAATTCATTAGTAAATAGTTTAGAAATGTGAACTTTTTTTACAATATCATTTTTTATGAAAGATGAAGAAAAATACTCACTATTGTACAAGTGATTGGTTCATTTAATAATCCAGTTTCGGGAATGCGGATATCAAGAGTTACAAATCCAAAAATGGATGCAGGAACATCTTTGTCCACGTGCCCTACATTATGTACTCTGAAAAAGATAATAATAATATTGCAATAAGAACAAATGATATCAGTAATGACTCTGAAGACTGTATTGAACATATTATTCTGATATTATTTTGTTCTAAATCATTATTGAAATTGTGGAGGATATGTGGAGTTGACAATGAATTTTGAATAAATTCGATTGTCAATTGACATCGTAACGAAAAATAATAAACTCTGTTTGTTTGAACATGAGATCAGTTCACTTCTAGTAAACTAGACATAGGAGATCTTTGCAAAGATCATTAACAGGTGGATTGGGAACATATTTTTCATAATTTCGGTTCGAAGATACATTATTTCACAAACTGATAACCAGATGTGGAGTAAATAGACTTCAAACAGCTGAGGTGAAAAAATTCAACTATAATTAAAAAAAAATGTTTGTACCACTGTCAAAAAACTTGACGTTTCCGCATCTTTATTGATGCGTATATGTTTACTTGTTTTCACTGCCAGAATAATTCACAGAATGAACATGAAATATTATTTTCTGAAGGATTTATTTCCAACAGAGTCAATTATTAATTGATTGTTCATCATAAAACAATTTCATTTATTGGTATAATAATTGATAGTGAAGTTTGAGCAATTATTCACAACATAAATACCCGAAATCGTTCCATGTTGATATTCAATATTAGATATTTTTTGAAGAAGTGATTCCAAAATTTTATCAGAAATTTTAATTTATTTATGATGGAATTGGCCAATACTTGATGAAAGTCCATAACTAACGTATTCAAAAACACGGGCGTGTCTTCAAAGTAAAAACACGACTGTAAAAGCCATTGTATGGCGAAACACCTGTTGCGTTTTTGTAAAATTGTTTAGTGAAAATCTCACAATGAAGTGTTTTTTGAATACGTTCAATTTGTTCAAAAGGAGATGGACTGCTCAATATTTTGTAAGAAATCTGAATTTTATTATTCAAATTCAAAATTTGAAACAGTAAACGTTCGTGCGCAAAAGGTCTTCATATCAGGTATTTTAACAATCAATATAAGTTCAGCATATGCAATCGATAGTTATCAATATTACTAGAGTTCTTTCTCAACACCAAATCGTTATTTCAACACCTCGACACGTGTTTCTATCACCAAGGGGTCATCTTCAAGAGGAAGATTAAACTAATCAACACTCTTATGTGCCATTAAAAAAACATTCGTTTTACGCACTTATTATGAAAATAACTATTTTCTACCTCTTTATCAATATGTGAAGTTTTGGAAACTTTCGAAAAAACGTATTGAAAATAAGCAATATGAATATGATCACATTTCGGAATTTTTGGGTCTTGCTGTTGGAACATCAAAGCCCAAATCAAAAATCAAAGCCCAAACCAAAAAATCGTGAATACACCCCCTACCAACAAAAAATTTGAAAAAGTACGATCAACGCTCCATAGAGTATATAATTACTATGCGAAAATCATAAAGTGCGAGGTACATTCCCGGCTAATACAACGCTAGATATTGAATTATATCTGATTGCGTTGCTGATGACAGCACAGTTGTTTCGTCATTCATTTCGTTGTCATTTGGATTCCAGGACATCGTTGGCGGATGCACATCTTCACCGGTAGCAGGAGGTTGCATGTCTTAATGAGGATCTAGAAGTAATTTTGAATGGGATTGAAAATATCCAGGTTCAATTCAATGTTACAAAAACCTAGGCATCGGTTTTCTCCAAAACGATGAATGTCTCCGAACCGGATATAATAATATCAGGTCAGACAATTCCACTTTCTGCTTCGATGAGTTTGTCGGTGGCTAAAATGGACACCAATATGTCTTGGCACAATAATATCGCTGGAATTGCAAAAGCCGCTTCTCAGAAGCTTGAATCACTGTTCCGAACCAGAAAATCATACACACCTCATCAACTTTTGATGATTTCTGAGGCTCAGCTCAGACCTTCTTTGGAGTATTGTTCTTATGTATGGAGCTCCGCTCTAAGCATACCCTGAAGCTGCTGGGTTCCATCCAGAAAAGAGACACCCGTCTAGTTGGAGATGGGAATATCACTTGCGACCTTGATAGTCTGGTTGGGGATTTGTCTCTATTCTATAGTTACTTTCACGGGAAGTATTCAATTGACTCGGCACGTTTGATTCCACCAAGAGCGGTACATATCAGAAATACGCAACAGACTATGGTTGCCCATCGTTTTGAGGTTCAACTTGGTACATCTCGAACTTCACTGTTAAAGAAATCTTCCATTTGAAGAACTTCGTTTATGTGGAATAAATTTCCTGGGAACGTTTTTCCAAATGGATTCAATATCCAGCGATTCAAATCCAATGTGAGGCACTACTTTTGCACAGGCACCGCTCTTAAGGATTTTTCTATAGTGCTTGTAGTTTGTTCTAAAAAAAAGGCATTCATGCAAGATACGTAATAGATGTTAGTCTCGCAGATATTTATCGTTCATCTAGAAGCAGGACCATGCTGAAATTGTTCCAGTAGATCACCTACATACCGATTTCGAGGCATTACTTCACATCAGTTCAGGATAGATTCGATCCAAACGGTAAAGTGCCTGGGACTTGATTGATTTTAACGCGGCTCGACTGCATGTCATTCATTTTCCAAGTTGAAGACGATAAACTCAATAATTGAATCATCAAAAGGATCATTAGGAATATCTCGCCCATGGTTGTGACATACTCGTATTTGTGGAAATTTCAATATCAAAAATTCATCTTATTTACAGTCTCACTATTTTTCTGGTTTGAAGGACGCCAATTTTTGGAACTTCCTCCTGACGTTCCGCTGATGCAAGTGGCTAGCTCTTTCCGAGGTAGATACATCCCGAGTTATCTCCGATGACTTATACATCATGAGTTATCCCCAATGACCCATCGGAGAGTAGAAACCTCCTGAGAAGCTAGGCAATCGCGCCAGCGAAACGTCAGGAAAAATATCCAAAAATCGACGACACGAAAACCTCGGGCGCGAAAACCTTAACCATTTTGTCGCCTGAGTTAACCTACGAACGTAAACAAAATTAACCCGAGACAGTCAATTTTTTAAAATATTGTCACTGAAAACGAAACTAACTATTAATCTTTAATGGTGAGACGGTAGCCATGTGGGCTGACGTGGATGTTTGCTCCAGTCACTAAACCGACCGCTGTGCGAACCGGTAGTTCGCTGTGCGAACTCGTTAGTTCTTAGCACACACAAGTTTCGAATTTTGAGAGTTGTTGTTCGTAGGGAGGTGACAGCTGAATAATGGAAAAACAGATTTCAACAGAAACAGAATCCAGCCTGCAACCTAACCCAGTCTACAAAGTTGTAAGAACGGTGGAACTTTGCATAATGGCAGCAATAGAGTTTTCCTCTACCTGAGGGATGTACATTTCGAGTTCACGAACTAAATGTACGCACCAAGACACCAGCGGAAAACAAATAGTCCGGTCAATTTAGACCTGAAAACAGTAATGAAATAACAGAAATTGTGACAGAGCTAACTTTTGGTATAGACCTTTATTTCATCATGAAAAATGAAAATTTGAAAGTCCCAATCTGTCCCATGAGCGCTTCAAAAGTTATTCTGGGTCGAAGGTCAAAATTTCAGGTTTTTTGAGTTTTTCTCGAAAACCGTGAGTTTTATCAAAAAAGTACCTCATACTAAAGTTGTAGATGTCAAAATTCTCTACAAAAATGGGACTTTTTTTTCTGTAAGTATCACCGTTCCTGAGATATCGCAATATGCACACGTTTCCACACCACCTGTGAGGTAATGTTTATGGAGTGTAATTGTCGGTTTGATTTTTTTTTATACTTTAACCCGATTCATACTCGTCATAGTCAACTTCAACAATCATGTCTTCTGCGATTTCTTCTTCGTCTTCTTCCTCTTCCTCTTCTTGTACTCTCTGTTGTACTCAACTCAACATTTCAACAAAAGTGACCTTGGCAATTGGTACACGCAGGTGAACACTGTAACCCTACTTTTCTACAACCGCATTTGGCATTACAACCTTTCTTGCAATTGCAAAAAATTGTGTTAAGGAGTTTTTTAGGCGCAGGGGGGAGCAAAGTTTTAATTGGTTCCAGAGTATTATTTATTAATTTCCNGACTTTCAAATTTTTATTTTTCATGGTAAAATAAAGGTATCCACCGAAATTTAGCTCTATCGCAATTTTCGTTAATTCAATATTGTATAATGACCGTACTAAAATCTTAGATTCACGAATATAAGCTCAGGGAAAGAACTATCGTTTTATTTCTGAAGTATCCAATCACGGCGAAATATTGAGAAATTGACTCAAAGCGAACCAAAGACTGAGAATTACTACCATCTACAATTTGTGGCTTTCATCTTCAATCTCTGGTTGAAAAATCTTTTTTGTGTTTTTATCCAACCTGATAAACATTAAGATTGTTATTCAAATATCATGTAGATCCATGATGTAGTAATAATTTCAATAAAAATACAATTATTATCAAAACAATGAAACTTACGCCTTTTTATCATCTGGGCAGTCATAGTAGCCAGATCCAAGACCTGAACTTATGCCAACAATGGCCAGTAATAAAGCTATAGACGTATATTTTCGAAACATGTTTATATAAAAGAATCTTTCAGTACTGATTCAGGCAACAATTGTCCTATCTAATATATATATGGCAATAGAAGAATAGTGTGATGTTATCTGATTCAAGCAAATATTGTGAAATAATTCAGATACGTGAAAGAGTGTTTTTTGTAAGCATTTTTTATCGCTACCGTATACTTTTGGAAACAACATTCTAGGAAGAATGCAAGTTGGATGAATTGATCAATCTGTTTTTATCAAGTGTAATAATCATTTTTGACAATTGGAAACAACTTTAGCTATCTACTTTACAATCATTACGAAATAGTGGTGTAAATTTTGGAAAAAAAAAGGAAGTAATCATCTGGAAGTAATGAAAACTGCTCCTGTAGTGCTTGTGTTTTGTCTTAAAAAAAAGATATCATTCATATGCATTGAATAAATTCATATTATTATTATTATTATATGCACGATAATGATGTCATATGAGCATGAACTTCATTCATTTCAAATAAATTTTTATTTTGAATTAATTTTAGTTTGCGGTAATTAGGGACACCACCTTTATTTTAACTAAGTGGTATATAATTCTTCTTGAATATTCTCAAACAGATATTTGATACTTCTATGGGTTTCACAATATGTATCACCTATTTCATCTAATTACGACAAGTGTGATCTTTCTAAATCGTCGTGATAACATCAAAGGCGAACGGATGTATACCAAGGATGTTGAAATTACCTGCCTAAAACCAAGTTTTCGATCGGATGTTACAAATCGGTCCAGAAAATTCACTTTTTCATAATTTTTTCCATTTATTTAGCAATACTTGACATACTTGCCGGTAGTTAGACAGTAGTATTTCGACTCCTTTTTTGTATACTTGCTGGCTTCATCCGAAGAAAATTTACATCTGATGGAAAATGACCTTTTCCGCAGTATTCATTCAATAGATCAGCTAGAGATTAATATGATCAGGTGATAATGTTAGGTGATTAGCAATTATACCACCATACCTGGTGATTTGCGTTATTTCAGTTTTTTTTCGCAACTATGATTTTCAGAGTTTTTGTGAATTTCTAAATGCGTTTTCAATCCTTATATGAAATATTTGCCAATCATATCATGAAGATGGTGAATAATTGTAACGGAAAGTTTCATTTGATTTATTTCAATAATTTCATCCTTCCTATTTTTATTATGTCGATACTTCCGATAACACATTGAAACTCATCCTTCGCATACATTAAACTCCATCATTTTTAAGTATAGGGTAAAACCGGGATAGATGCCTCATATCCTAAAAAGCTAACTTCCCGAACTCGCAACTAAGACTTAATTCTATAAGTCACCCCGTACCTCAGTTAACCATGTACGATGTAAAAACGTTTGGCTCGTGCGTGTATTTATCTCCGTGACGACATTTAGAAACTTGTAAAAGATTCACAGGTTAGTATTTTGCATTTTATAACTTTATAATTAGTAATAAATTCCGTTATATTTTCAACTACGTCAATATACTGGTTCATTAGGAACGTGTTAGGAATCACACGTTAAAAGGTAAGACCTCGTTAATCCTTAGCTCGCACAAGTTTCGACTTCTGAGAGTTGCCGTTCGTAGGGGTGCGACAGCTGGTTAACGGAAAAACAGATTTTAAACAGATTTTAAACAGATTTAGTCTACATCTAGGTGCAAATATATTTTATTATTATCATAAAGGAAAGTTGCCCTGATTTTTCGAGGTATAGGTTCCCTTAGGGGCATCTATCCCTCCATACACTGTCATTCATGATTAGAGTCAGCTTTCGATGAAATGGACGAGAAAGCCATGGGGATAAACGAAACATCTCGAAAATTTGGGATTCCATCGAGGACATTGCGAAGACGATATGCTGCTAGGAGTACAATAAAGTTGACCCTGGGTATGTATCATAGATCATGTACTACAGGACATTGCAAACTTTCAATTAACAAATTGTTGAATATTACTGGAGTTTTATCCCAACACCAAACCGTTATTTTGAACACTTCGACACGTGTTTTGATCAAGAGGAAGACCAAACTGTAGTTTAGTCTTCCTCTTGAAGATGATCACTTAGTGATCTATAAAGCAAACTGTAGTTCAGTCTTCCTCTTGATGATCTAAAGACTGAACTGTAGTTTAGTGTTCCTCTTGAAGATCTAAAGACTAAACTGTAGTTTAATCTTCTCCTTGAAGATGTTCACTTGGTGATCGAAACACATATCGAGGTGTTAACAATAACGATTTGGTGTTGTATAAAACTCCAGTAATATTCATAACTACACCAAAGGTTCCAAACAGTGTATCACAAGTAACTAATTGCTGTCTCTAGTTGCCAATAGATCCATTACCGTAAGCATTTTTGTTAGGAAAACATCCTATTTTGGATTTTGACAACAAGAAAAGGCTAGTAAAGCACATTCTCAAGCTTGGTGATGCAGGATTTTCCCCAAATAGACAAGCCATATGCATGTTAGCTTATCAATTTGTTGAAAAGGTGGAACACAATTTCGACCACGAAAATGAAATGGCTGGAGGTGCATGGTCCAGAAGTTTTATTGAACGAAATCCGGAGCTGTCTATCAAACGAGCTGAAGGTTTATCCGTGACTAGAGCTAAAGGTTTCAGTAGAGAAGAAGTCAATAACTTCTATGATCTTTTGATCAAAGTGTTACGGTTTCAAAATCACTACCTCAATTTTCAGTAAACCCCCAGTAGATTTCATAATGGAGATAAGGAAAATCTATACAATTCCACATAGTTCATAGTTTATTTAAGATATAACAAAAATAATTTATTACGATTTATTATGACCCTGTATATGTCAGGAATATGAAACGAGTCTTCGTATCTTTGCTGGAATCGGCAGATTCACAAAGTTTATTTATAAGATATCGTTTTTTTTACTAAATAATTCATCTGTCTTTTAGGACAGTTCATGTCATTTCGACATTTCGAAACTTCAGAAAAAAACGTATGTTCCTTTTTTTTTGGTTTTGGACCAGACACGGGAAGAACATCGCAATTTTGCGGATTTTAAAGAAGGTTTCAGAGTATCCCTGAATCGAAAATTGATTTATCTCAAAGGAGATAATAATTATCTACTGTCGTAGGATTTATGTAGGAATTACTCGAAACTTTCAAATTGAAGTTTCCATTGTCGAAGAACTAGGACATCTCAAAAGGCCACACTCCATCTGAGGTATGAACAAACATTTTGTGTTTCATTGATACGACCTTCTTGCTTGCAAGACTTTATGTTCGCAGACATGTATGAATTTTTAGGCCTTCATTTTCCATTTGCCTTTTCGTTGCTAACTGATAACGCCCTCAAAATCTCCCCAACTTTGAGAATAGCGGTTGACGAATCCCCACTTCTTGGACACCTAGATGACTCACCACTGTTAGTAGCGACATAAGAGCGGATTATCGTAAGCCTCATGTCTCAAAGAAGGTAATATTGTTCCTTTTTATCGTTCATTGGATCTGAACGGGACGCATTGGCATCACAGGAGTAACTGTCATAACTGTCAGCGTTTCTGCGTAACCCACTTCATCTAGCTGAAAAGTATCTACTTTTACTTAGTATCAATTATAT